ACCCCTGGGTGCCCCCTGGGTGCCCGCTCACCCCTGGGTGCCCGCAGGCTCCTCCTGTGCCCTGCCCGGCTCCCAGGACTTCGCGCCCTTCCCCAAGCTGGAGCAGGAGGAGGAGAAATTCCGCAAGGCCGCCAGCTCCAGCTCCAGCTCCCACTGCTCCCCTCTCTACGAGGGCCCCAAGGCCGACGTCTTCGAGCAGAAAGTGATTTTCTCCGGCTTCGGCTCCATCATGCGCTTCTCCACCTCCACCATGGGCCAGCAGCGAGCCCGTGACTCCTCCCCCGTGGACTACAAAGCCACCGGCACCTCCCTGGGTGGCCCCGCGGGTGGCCCCGCGGGTGGCCCCTCGGGTGGCACCAGCCACAAGCGGATGCCGTCGCTCGGCGCCGAGGAGGGCGAGGTGCTCAAGGAGAAGAAGCACAAGGGCAGCAAGAAGAACAAGCACGGCCCCGGCCGGCCCAAGGTGGCCAAGGGCAAGGAGGTTTTGGGGGCCCAGTTGGCTGCGTCCACCTCCACCTCGTCCTCGCCTTTCTCCGGGGGATCCCTGGTCAGCTCCAGCGTCGGGAATTCCTCCCGGAGCTTCGGCCACGCCTCCAGCCTGCCCAGCCTGAGCGTGGAGTCGCCGCTGCTGGGCTCAGGTGTGTCCTCCCTACACCTCTGCTCGGGCCTCTTTTCTAGAGTTTCCCAGCCTTTTCCAGAATTTTCTGGACTTTTCCATCCTTTCCCATAATTTTCCGGCATTTCCCAGCCTTTTCTAGAATTTTACGGACTTTTCCATCCTTTCCCATCTTTTCCCATCCTTTCCTAGCATTTCCCAACCTTTTCCAGAATTTCCCAGCCCTTTCCAGAATCTCCCATCCTTTTCTACAATTTTTCAGTCTTTCCCAGCCCTTCCCAGCCTTTTCCATCCATTTCCATCCTTTCCTAGCCTTTCCCAGCCCTTTCCAGAATTTCCCATCCTTTTCTACAATTTTCCAGTCTTTCCCATCCATTTCCAGCCCTTCCCAGCCTTTCCCAACCTTTTCCAGAATTTCCCAGCCTTTCCCAGTCCTTTCCAGAATTTCCCA